TAAAGTAGTGAACATGCTAACATACTTATATTCACCATAAAGATAAAACAACAAACAGTACCCCTCCCCCCACAAACATGGAAAAAAAGCCATTATCCTGTGTCTATTAGATTTCATACAAAGTGAGAACTTGAATACTTGAATTACACCAGTGAAGATGATCATTTTGAAATATGCTTTTTAAGCTACCATTGACAATTGTAATTGTAATTGTGATTACCGGTGTATTAGATAATTCTGTTCACGCAAAAGCAGATACACCGTTTTTTCATACATATGCATTGAAGTCAATTAGACTGAAGGTACCAATACATTCACATGGAGCTGTATAGAGTTACTAACAGAATACACCTTGCACCATTAAACTAGGCCCACAGTAAGTAGTGATATATGATTATCAATAAACAAATAATTAAGAATTCCTGAAACCCCTTTTTACACAGACATGGAATAAGACTGTAGCTCAACTCTTAGTGCACTTTGTAACATGCTTTTTCTTACTTCTTAAGACACGAAAACAGTTTTCCTGATACATCAATACATCACTAGAAGATTCTTCTCACAAAAAAAAAACTTACAAAAGGCAACAGAGCAACAAATGTCTCCAATAAGTCTAAAGTAGCTCTATTTCAAAAAGCTGAACATGCACAATGGACTGTACATTAATAGCAACATCTCATTCGAATTGGCTGTCGTCTTCATCAAGGCTCATTCTCGCTCTTCAATGAATGGATGTAACTATCTTTTTGGTCTGTCGATGTCGTCAATAGCTGCTAACAGTTTCTGTCTCGCCTTCTTATTTATGTGCGATCCCAGGCAAACACTCACCAGATTTGTCAGCTGCTTCATGGAATATTCCTGGCCAGAAAAAACACATCTGTATTAACCAGACAGAAAGGAACAAACTACCTTCTATTTTGAATGGAGAAAGTTATGTCACTTCAACTGACAAACTTCAACCCACAAAAAAAGACTTTTGATCATCATCAGTCATTAAAGGATATCATGGGCTGGTGAAAAAACATTTTCTCTTTTTCTTCTTAATTTTCAAGCACCTGATGTTTTCTTTTTCTTCAGACATCTGTACAAACAGTTAAACTGGCCAAACATTGACAAAAAAGACAGTCATCCACACAATCTATGGTTAACAAACATGGGTAAAATGACACATTATGTACCACTTTATGCAATTAACATTTTTAGAAATGTATTTCATAATGGTCATCAAATTTGACTCAAACTGGTGTTGGCACACTCAGTATAATGATTAAAACACCCTTCTTCAATGCACTACAGTCTATTAGAATAGAATCACTAGGATTACACCTAAGCATTTATTAACATAAATCTTGAATTTCCCAAAATATTTATATTCTATATTTATTTAGAAATATAATAGATTTACTTATATAATATAAAATATATTTACCATTGGCCTACAATAAATCATAGAAATCAGAAACTTCCCAAGAGCCATTATTGTATATTTTCATTTCGACAAACCTTGACATTCTTCTTTCTATCACAATGTTAAAATAGATTCAGATAAATGAAATATTTGATAGTGTCCTCTCTAAATCAGCAATGCATCACAACAAATTCAGCTCTGGATTCTCTTAAAATATTTTTTTACTTAAAAAATTCTTTCTGTTCTACAACTGCAAAAGAATCATCAAGAACCATTCAGGATGAAGGAATCATGTCCAGGACAATAATGGAAGACTTTTAGACAATGTAAAAGGAAATTTACAAGGGCGGATATACTACGTTCCTGGGCTAAATTCCTAGGGTACTATCTCCGTGGAGTTTGTATGTTTGTATGGGACTGGCGTCCCATCCAGGGTGTATCCTGCCTAGCGCCTGTTGCTTGCTGGGATAGGCTCTGGCTCACCCTGAATTGGATAAAGCGGTCAGGAAATGGATGGACAAAAGTGACTAGTCATTTATGGCATCTCCTTTTGACATCCATCCATTTTTCGAACCCAGGACCCCAGTTCTGCAAGGCACCAATGCTAACCACTGAGACACCATACCGCCCCCTTTTGCTGATATAAATAAGAAATACTGGTACCCTGCTGAGTGAAGAATAAGATACCCTTAGGTTATGCTTGGTTTTATTCATTTGCAGAAGATGTTCTTATGGAACTGTGACAGCAATTCTCTAAACTTTAAAACTTGATGAATTACCCCTCTTTTCAATCATTTTACCATTTCTATACATTGTTTATAGTTGCTCAATAAACTGCAAGAAAATAATATCGCAATTTGTTAAAAATGTGAACCAGATACAACTGTACACAACAGAAGAAGAACTGTCACTGAATTAGTAAATGTGTTCTAAGCAGTGGAATAAGAGTGAAGACCTATACAGCACAGATGGTGAACTAACACTGCACAAATGGTGTATTTAATCTTCATAAAAATTTCTAAACTTTACAGTACATCCTTCAGCAAGGAATAGCGAGGATGAGTAAACAACATGTCAGATGTGCTATGCTTGAAAATAAATTAATCCTGTTCTTGTCTTTTACAAAGCAATGCCATGATTCTGAAATATTTAATCTGTAATGAATATTTATTTGATCAGTATAGAAATAATGGAGAATTCTGCACAGTAGCAAGTAGTAAGTATATGTAATAGGTTTATTCCATGCTGAAAAGAAGAAAGAAAACACAATGTTTAGGTTGTGGAGCCTTCTTCAGGTGTCTTCAGGTGCCACCTGAAGGTAGGACGTAGTAAGAATATGATGGATTTTAATTATCATTATAATCTTATCAAGAAACCAGAACGGTCAGGATGATTATCAAAATTAACTTCTTTAAAACTCCTGTTAGTGCCTGTGACTTCTTAGTAAATAAGACAACATATTAATGATAATAAATCCAATAATATACAGCATTAAAATGCTTTGAAGCCACATTTGTGGAAAGGGTATTAGTCAAGCCTATAAGTAATTTAAACTGACAGCTACAAAACTAAACACAACAGAATAAGATTTTACCTGAAGTGAATTACCTGAACTTAAAAACACAAGCTTTAGAAGGAGAAACATGTGGAATGTGAGAGATTTCAGCAAAGCTCAGGGGCTGAAGTATCTGTCAAATGTATTTGGAACAATAAATAATCCAGAATCAATGGTGTACAGAGCATGAGATGAGCGATAAACTGAAATTAATATAATCACTGAAAAATACAGAAGAGGCATACTGTGTAGTGTTTTTTATATTAATAAGAAACCTTAAGTCAATGGAAAACACAAACAAGTTTGTCACAACCAGTTCCAATTTAGAGATT